AATCTGAATTCTTCTATATGGTGTAAATGTATGCATATAATACTTATATAATTAAAAATAAAAAAATTAAATAAGGCAGAAGTACAGAATGAATCCAGCCACCCCAGGGTGCTCTTGCAAACTCACTTCCTCTGTTAAGCCTTTCAAGGGTGGTCTGCCATTGAGCTCCTCCTCCTGTAAGCAAAGACAGTAGGGAAAATGGATTGAAGGGTAGAAGGAAATGCAGAAAAGAGACAGTGGTGGAAGGAATGGTGAACAGTTAATAGGGAAGACACCAGGGAATGAGAAACATGAAGGGAAATAGAAGGAAAACCATGTTAGGAGACAGCAAGCCAATGTGAATGTCCGCATGGCCATACTTCTCTTCAAAAGACTATTAGAGTTCCCACTGTTTCCAAGGGCCTGACAGCCTTAAAAGGGCTGCAAAAAGCTATTCATCCTCAGGGGCTCTTAATTTGGTTTGTTAAGAAGAACAGTTAGAAACGATGTCTCCAGGAAGTGTATGTGCCTTTCACCTGGTTCCTACATCCTGTCATTTCCAGAGAATGCAGCAGTGAGAGCTGGCCTCAGGAAGGGACAGCAGAGTCACAGGAGGGTTACCAAAATGTCAGTCCTCTTTCCCTCTAATCAGTGGAATCTCTGGTGTAGGGATCATGCACTGAAGTTTTCTGAAGTTCCCAATAATTCATGTAGCTAGTTGCAAACACTTCTCTAAAGCCTCTTGGTGATTTACAAGGTCATCCACTCACATCACAAGTGCCACCCAGAGAACCACCATAACATCCCCACCATAACATCCCAATCTCTTCCACAAAGGGTTAATGCCCAACAACATTTAGAGTCCTAACTCTCTTCCTATATGAGAAAATATACTTATCACACAACCTCCCATCAGTCACAGCTCATAGCCCCCAGGAAGGTAGAAGTAGCTGAGGTAGAGGTGGAGTTCTGGGACCAGCTCAATCACAACCAAGTAGGGTGGTTTGGTCATTTTCCATCTCTGTGCCTTATTTTCCCCCCAGCAGAGAGCTATAATTCCCTTCCTCCCAAGGACAGAGTGAAGACAACTTTCAGGATGTGACCTTGTTAACTTGGAATCCACTGGAGAATAGGTACTCTTAAAATTTGGGACTTTTAAATATGGTATTAACAAACTTTTTAATATGGTATTAACAAAAGTTGTGAAACTTAAAACCTACATTCTCTTGAATACTCATCTAAGGAAAGAGAAGCTCTATCCAGCCAGCCAGCCAGCCTTCTACCCATCCACCCCTCACAAATCCATCCACCCTTACTTTCCTTTTCTTTGAGACAGGGACTCACTATATAGTTCAGGCTGGCCTTTAACTCACTGTGTAGTCCAGGCTGGCCTCAAACTCCTGAGGATCCTCCTGCCTCAGCCTCCCTAGTGTTGGGATTACAGGTATGCTCCACTACACCTGGCTAACCTTTACCTTCTAGTTGCCTCTGGGCAGAGATGGGAACACAACTGTGCACGTGTCATGAGCTATTGCCTTCCTGAGTGCCCACTGTCATCTCTCAATGCTAAACAAATGACCTCACCAGCTGAAGAGCAACATTCTACTCCACTCCCTCAAGCCTCCGCAAGGTTTCCAAGATTCTTCACAATTTTCCCCTCCCAGAAACATCAAAACACCACCACAGACAGGCAGACAGGGACATTCTTTGAGTGTTTTTTGTTTTTTTGGCTTTCATTTAAAATAGTCATCAGATTAAATAAAAACAAGCAAAGTGCTTTGGCAGACCTCTTTCCCACAAGGCTGTGTCAATAGAGATTGCTTTTTTATAGAAATATCTTAGGTAGACACGTCTAACTCTGGCCTGGGTAGTTAGCCACAACTGCGGCTCTTCTGGAGTCTGCCCCAGGTATGTTGTGGGTGTGGGTGTGGGGGGCAGGAGCCTAGGGGGAGCGGGATGGAACAGCCCCTCCTTGCCCAATAGCATGCATGCCAGTGTGTAGTCCTGCCAAGCATCTGCCTTCTTCAAGGAATTCAGCAGCACGAATGAAGTTTAAGGGATGTATCTGAAAGTTATAACCAGCACCTTCCCCTCCCCCACAAATAACCATTTCCGGCTGCTCTAGAGTCCTGACTTGCCTGCCTCCCAGACCTGGGCATCCAAGCATGAGTCAATCATGGTTCTCTTAGTTCCTGTCCTTTCCGCCCTCTTTACCAAAGAGATTGATTTTCCTTGGAAATTTTCCAACCCACCCTTCCTGCCTCCCCCTTCTATGCCAGGTCATGGTATTGCTAACTGTACAGCAGAGCAGTTTAAATCAAGAAATGAATTTGCATAAATAAATCAACACACTCTCAGCCAAGATCCTTGCTATGCTCCTTACAGTCACTTGTATCTCACCAGCTCACCCACCTACCACTTCACTCCCTTTATTCCTCTTGGATCACAGCCAGCTCCTCCACCACCCTTTGGTCCTTTCCTGGGAATGTGGAAATCCAGGAGATGGTCCCAGTATCCTTGGTCCCACATCCCCCTCTCGACACACTCCTGTGCTCTCACCAGTCCCTCCCTCGCCAGCTCCAGCACACTCTCCTGCTCCACTCCTGGACACCCTTCCTAGCTTTCCAACTCATTTCCCCTCATCAGCTCACCACGACCTCCAATCCTCTCACCTTACCCTTCAGCATCCACCACTCACCTCTGGTGCCCACTCCCTCCTTGTCTGGCTAGTCATCCAGTTATGTCACCATCCTTACTCCCTCAGCCTCTCCCTCTTGGAAAAAGTTCAGTCCTGATGAGGGTCACCTTTGTAACTCTGCACTCTACTTTCATGGTGGAAAGTAGCTGGGGAAAACCCACAATGGTGCCACAGGTATTATTCTAGATGACTGCTCGGGGACAGAGAGAAGGCCACTGCTCCTCTCCCCAGCAACATTTCCAAGAACATACCGTTAATGCCTTGTTTGATCTCACTTCCCCAGTAACACCTCATCTCTTTTCCTTTACTGCTAAGCTCCTCCAGAGGGGAGTGATACAGGCCTGGTCTTCAACCATCTCCTTTCATCCTTGATCCAACCATAGCTGGATTCCACTCCCACCACTCAACTGAAGCTTCTCAGGACACTGCCACCACAGCCAGGTGCTCAGTGGTTATTCTCAGTCCTCCTCCTATGTGGTCCACCAACGGTATCCAGGGAGACCCACCCTCTCCCCACATCCTGAGCACCTCCTTCCCAAAGGCTCCCAGCACTCTGCGCTGGTCTGATTTTCTTCAGCCTCCCTGGGTTCCCTGGATGCCTCCTCTTCACATCCCTTCTTTCCAGTAGCTGAGGGACCCTATAGTTTAGCCCTTTACCTCCTGCCTGCATGAACTCCATCCTCTGTCTGCCTCACTGTTCAGCCTCCCTCTCCTCTGCTTCAGCATTCTGACTTCTTGGCTGGGCCTGGACTCCTCTCCCAACCCAACCCTCGCGGCACATGGTCATCTCTATCTCAAAGTTTCCTTTCTCCCAACATGCGCGTGGCTTACCCTTTCCCCTCCATCTTTGACTATTGTTTTTAAAATTGCAAACCCTCCCTGCTATCCCCATGCTCCTCATGGCCACCCCCTTCCATTTCCTTGCTTTATGTTTCTCTTTATGCTGCAAGATTCCCCAGCACTAGAATGTAAGTTCCAGGAGGGCAGAGCTCTTTGCAGTCTTGTTCAGTTCTGGGTCCCGAGTCCTAGAACTATAGAGCAGTGCCTGGCTTTGCGGGTGGAGTAGGATGCTGTGTATCCTCCCGTGGATGAGGTGAGGAGGACATTACAGGCTTATACACTAATTTATGACTTCGAGGACACACAGGAAAGCTCACCCCATGTCTGCCTCTCCCATAGGGGTTTTGCCTGCCCCTGCTCCTGGCCTGACTCCTGGTTTGAGTTCCAGAAAAGCCACAGGGCCATTCCGGCTTTTGAAACAGCAGGAGGACTGGGTTTTCTTTCCACCCAGACAGGGCGCAGGCGGCTGCATCCAGGTTTTCCCCAAAGCAGGGCTCCCAAGTAGCTCTCCCTCTCCTCATCATAGGAGTCTGAGCTATGGGGTGAGACAAATACAAGAATCTAGCACTGCGACACTGAACCTGGACCGGATGGGAGACCTCTCTGTGCCTCCCTGTGCAGGCAGCACCTGCTTCTCTGTGGCTTCTGTACCTCATTTTCTTTCTTCCCTTCCCATATTCCTGAATAGCAGGACAATCCCCATCTGCCAGATAAGAAAACTTGGCTGCAGAGATACTGGGGGCTTTGCTTAAGGCACATACATAGACAGTTAGCAGCAAATCTGGAACCAAGTCTTGAAAATATCTACTGCATATTTATGATATTAGGCAAAGACACGTGTGGCCTGCATTGGTACTTTAGTCAGGAGAATGTAAGACCTCCAAATCTCAGCCTACAATCTTTCAGCTGAGGCAACCTCCCATCCAAAGCCAGGGCTGCCACAGATTGACACAAGAAGGGGAGGACCGCCTGAGATTCTGGTCAGAACACCTCATACATGTAAGTATGCTGGCACCCAGATCCCAGGGGGAGCAGCCCAGGAGACTCATTTCTTAGGCTTCTAACAACTGCCTGTATTTGAAATCAGAGAAAATATACCTAAGTTACAGTTCTCTGGTGGAATGCATCATGGATAAGCTATGATCTCCAGATCTTGAGAATGGAAGATTGTGGAGAAGACACTGCCAGGCACATAGTAGGTATTCAATAAAAACGTATTCAAAGGCCCATGAGTCTGGCAGGCCCTCAGCTGTCTGTGGGTAGGGAGGAGTAGAAGTGAGTTCCAGGAGTCAGGCGTATATAGCTATAGGGAGCTTCCTGCCTGGACCCCAAAGTCTCTCCTACATGATTCCAGGTGCTGTGCCATGGGAAACCATTCAGAGCTTGGCATCCCTGGGCCAGGTGATCAGACACTGGCCAGAATTAAAGTCCCCAGTATCACACCCTTTGAGTTTGCTAAGCTCCACCCTGGGCCAGCGCTCACCTGGGAGATGTGGGACTGTGTCCTCTGGCTCTCACCGTCGTCGCCCTCCGTCTTGTCAGCCAGCAGCCCCTGCACCTGGTACTCCAGTACATAGCTGTCGATGAAGCGCTCCAGCTCCTCAATTTCCTGGGAGCGGCTGCTCCCCGCCTCGGAGGAGGCCGACGCTGCAGAGGAGTTTTCCATCCCTCCACCTCGGGGGCCTGGGAAGGCTGGTGGGAACGAGAACAGACAGATTCCATGAGACACTGCTGGAGGAGAGAACAATGCCCCACTTAGGAAATACTCTCTCCTAGAAGCTTTGTCCCCTCTTCCATGACATTTTGGTCTCCCAAGTGACAGCAAAGTCAGTGGGCACTGGTTTATCTGTAGCATAAAGAATATTTTGAATTCCCACTGCAAGGGGAGGGAAACTGAGGCCAAAGAAGGCAGATTATTTGCCTAACTGGCCAACGTGAGCCCTTTGGCAGTGTTTGGGCTAGTGAATGCCCAGGCCTTATTGTCTGGAAAAAGCAGAAGATGAACCATGATTGGCACCTGAGCCCCATTGCCTGACTTGGATTTAACAATATCTACCACAAGAGGCCACAGACTGTTACATCCCTGATCCAAGAATTAGGAGGTACAGGGATCCACATACAGACCCAAGAAGGGCTGAACCCTCCAAGAAAATTCCTTCTTCTAAAAAGACTTTCTTTCTCTCTGGTCACTAGATTGTCCCTTAAGTTAGCGGTAGCCTGTGGGTCCCAGGTTAGCAGTCTGGCCACGGGGCAGATTAGGGGACACGTATTGTATTCCGCTGGAGGACTGTGAGTATCTTCTACTGACAGAACATAAAAGGCCTGGCAGGTTGTCTGTGCAGGTATGTTAAGACATGGACACTGTCTGGTCACCCTCCAGGAGAGTATGAACACCCTCAATAGCCCTCTGGCTCTCTCTTGAGCTGGGCCTGGCAGACATGACCAGCAGTTCCTGAGAAGCCAGCTTGTGCTGACCAACCGAACAACATCCCTCCTGACCAGGCTGGGTCAGCCCGTCCTAGGGATCCAAGCCTGCGGGGATACCTCTACTGCCTCTCTCTGCCCTTGTCCCCTGTAGTCACACATTATTCACCAAGGAGTAAGGTGAGCTACAGTCCTCACCTTCAGGCAGGGACCCTCACCTCCTTCTGACTGGCTTGAGGCTAGACAGGAAGGGATTTTTAAAGATTGTCTTGTGTGCCTTGAATTATTGGGAGACCTGTGATCTGCACGAGGATCCCACTGAGCCAAGGGGAAACAGAGCCTGCACAGGTTTCATCACTACAGCTGAAAGGTCTTCCCCCCACCTCCACCTTGTGAAAGCATGAAGCAGATCAGAACAGTAGACACGCAGGGCTCAAAAATGGGGCCTATGTGGGTGCTACGGTGGATGAGAAAGGCCAGGGCCATGGTGCTAAAAGGAACATTGGAATCTTAAAACCTTCAATGTCTGAGGACCTTCAGGGAATGCAGTTATGGGCTAATAATCAAGGGTTGGCTGAGTGCTAACTGTAAGGGATGTAAGGCAGGGCTCAGAGTGCCTCCAGGTTGGGCTCCCCTGACCTCCATCAGTTCTCTTCTGAGGGAAAACAGCCCGGTGAAGACTGCTGAGCCGCAGACTTACAGAACTAGGTGGTGATTAACTGATATTATTTTAAATCAGAAGGTTGCAGCAACCTATTACACAGCCATTGAATGCCAACACAGGATGCCCCCTCCTGCTTCTGTGCTTTCCTCACACTGCGCCTCATTTAGGGGCACTTTCTTGCACTTTCCAAAACTAGAGGTCCTTATACTTATGCAGTGATAGAGCAAAGGCTGTCTGGCAATTAGTCCAATCTCGTGGCTCAAGCGAAGGCCAGTACGCAAAGGATTCACCCAGTCCTGGCTATGGGTCTGAATACTGTGTCTTGTATTGTTAAAAGGAATGGGAGTGTTTACTGCACCCTATCATGTTCTCAGCACTTGATGTGCCTTCACACACTTCACCCTCAGGATGACCCCATGAAATTAGCATAATTATACTACCTAGCAGAGGAAACAGAGGTTCACAGAGGTTAAGAAACAGAGGTTGAGAGAGGTTAAGCAACAGAGGTTCAGAGAGGTTAGGTAACATGTCCAAACTAACACCACAAGGCTCCAGGTCAGCCTGACCCCAACCCTACTCTTTTCCTTCCCATCTGCTGGCAGCCTGTGCAGACCTTCAGGAGAGCTCCCACTTTTCCATTCCCCACTGCCTGGCCAATGAGCAGAGAATTCTTTAAGTACTGTGTCCATTTTTTACTCTCTGACTAGGTGCTGGCCCGGGAAGGGTGTCTCATGCAGGCTCGGTGCCAAGCCTGAGCTAGATGGGAATGATAAGGTTGCTCCCAAGGGAGGGCTGAAAAGGAGCTGCCCGAAGGCAAAGTCAGTGCTTAAGGCCCCACCCACTGTTGCTGGAAGACTTCCAATTTTATCAAGGGCTTCCTGGCACACTTGACAGGTATAGGACAGAGAGTGAGGTTTTGCAGGAACTTGACACTGAGCCAGAGCCATTTCCAGAAGGATCAAATGCTGGCCTCTGCCTACAGCAGTGGCCTCCAGCCTGTGCTGCTGGGTCCTCCTGGCACGCTTGAATGCCATGGGCCATACCATGGTTGTATCAGGCAGCCTGGGTATGGTAATGACCCCAAACCTACACTGGCTTGCTGAGGAAGTGCAGGAATTGAGACTCATCCCAAACCGTGCAGACTTTTGGTGTCCAGAGGGAAAAGGAGGACTCCCCAAAGAGGCTCATGCTCTCTCGGCCACCTTCTACTCCAGCTCCTGCTGTCTAACCAGAGTCATGTGGTGTGTGGTATGGCCAATGGCATCTCACCTTAGTCACCCTTGAGCCCAATGCACAGGGCTTCTCTGACATGAGAGGTCTACAGGAACCCACCTGGTCCCTGTGACCTGAGCATGTGTGTGAGGAGCTAATATCCCATGGTACAGCCCTGGGTTGGGACAAGTACTCTCCTTTTGGTCTCAGATGAAAATTCTGAGGCACATTCTATGTGTTTCCTCAGTGGTCACCAGACCCACAGCGCTGCTCACCAGCCCTTTCCTCCTCTCCTCTCTGTTCCCTGTGAGTCTAGTTCCTGGGAGACGCCCTCGCTTCTACATTCTACAGTGTACCCCTCCCAGGGAGCTGAGGCCCCTCCTTCAACGGGATGGGGTGCATTCAGGGCTGGACTTCCCAGGCTCGGCTTCTGCAGGAGAATTAGGAGCAGGGATAGGCAGAGAGTGCTCTGCTGAGTCCCTCTCTACAGCAAGGCCAGAAGTTCAGAGAGGCACCTGTGCCCACAACCTGACATTATTTTTACTGTGCTAAAACATACATACCCTAAAACTCACCATTTTGAAGTATACGGTTCAGCAGCTGTAAGTACATTCACAAAGTTATGTAACTGTCATCACCATTGCCAGGGCCTTTTCACCATCCCAAGCTGAAACTCTGTGCCCACCTAATAGTAATTCCTCAGCCCCCTGGCCCAAGCCTTGGTAACCACCGCTGTTCCTCTGTCTCTGTGAACTGGCCTATTCTGGGTAATCTGTACAGGTGGAATCATATACTATTTATCCTTTGTGACTGGCTCATTTCATATAGTAAATGTGTTCAAAGTTCATCCACACTGTAACATGTCAGAATTTCATGCCCTTTTATGGCTGATAAGACCCTGTATTACAATACTGCATTGTATGTATTTGCCACAGTTAGTCTATACACTCATTCATCTGTTGACCTGCATGTGGGTTGTTTCCATATTTGGCTACTAAGAATATGCTGCTGTGAACTCAGATGTACAAATATCTGCCTGAATCCCTGTTTCAGTTCTTTCAGGCATAAGCCTAGAAGCTCTATTACCTTTTTAAGGCAAGAAAATTGGGGAGGAGCAGAGTAGCTGAGACACAGGGAACGCGATGCTGTCCACCAAGGCTGGTTTGGCTGCCTTCCCCCCTGAGCTCTGGGGGGTCTCCCCTGGCTCAGTTTCTCCTTCACAGGAAGAGCTGCTGGGAAATCCTCACGCAGCTGGGCCGCTGGCTGAGCTGAGAGCCAGCAAAAGGGGCTTTTGTTTTAATGATCAGCGAACGTAAAGAAGCTGGGACCAAAGGAAGAAGGAAAAGGAGAGAGGAAAGGATAGAGAAGTCAGGGGACATCTCTGACTGTGGCCATCCAGGACATAGAGCTTGCAGAGGGAGGCAGATCCCAGAAACTTGTCCCTGCAGCTGTGCACTGGGCCCTAGCCCTGCCCTCATTCCCCGCCAGGTGATGGATGAGGTGAAGCAAAAAGGGCCTGAAGCAGGAGTAGGAAAAGTGCTGAGGCTGCACTTTGCTGAAAAAGACATTAAAGGGGCTGCCACAGGCAGGAGGGGCAGCCTGAGTGGGCACAGGATGGATGGCGCAGGGGCCCAGGGTGCAGAAGGACCAGCAGGGGCTCCTCTGCTTGTGATTCCCAGAGAGGTTGCAGGGCAGCCAGGCTTAGGCTGCTCTGTGGCTGTCTGGGGAAGGAACAGCGGTGCTCTCCTCTTAGAGCTGCATGTTAAAGGACCTTGTCCCAGCTGGGTGTCCCAGGACGTCCTGCCCCCCTGCTGCAGCCAATCACAGACATGCTGCCACTGTAGCTCTGGGTGCCTGGCTGCCTATTTTTAAGGCCAGAAATGAAAAGCACCCATGTTCTCTGAGGAAAAGGAGCCTTCCCCCACACTGGTGTCCTCTCCCCTCGCCAGCCCACACAACCCACCCCCTCACTGCTGCTGCCCCAGAGCTGCGCGGCTTCCTTAGAAAGCCAGCATAGAGGGAAAGGGCTTGTGCAGGGAAGTTTGTCTCTCCCTAGCCCTCTGGCCCTGCTTGGCTAGAGTCTGGGAAGCTCACAGCACCCTGAGGAGGTACAGGTCTGAAGCAAAAGAAAGGCGAGGCCCAGTCCATCCAGCAGCATCCTGCAGCTCAGAAACAGTAAGTTGGATCTGCCCCAGCCCTTCCAGCATCCTTTCCCACTCACCCAGTGGCAAATAGCATTAGAAGCTGTAAATTTAGCCAATCCCTTTAAGAACAGCCAGGCATTAGGGGCATTATCTCCCCCTCCAATCCCCAGGGATGAGTCTGGTGACCTGCAAACAATCTGAGACCTGTCTTCTCTGTTGCCTGCCAGCCCTTCTTGGGAACCCATCAT